GGAGGTGTGGAAGGAGACTCAGAGGAGGTGCGAAGTGCAGAGGAATGGAGACGCACCCAGCAAGGGCTGGCAACTGAGGACGCTGCTGTCTTTTTGAATCAGGAGGGAGTCACAAGCCCCCGACTGCTCTGAACTCCAGTTCCACGCGAGTCTCTGGGGACCCAGACTCATACGGGGAGAAACTGGACTGTCTGGCATCAGGCAGAACTAGAGGGTGGCTTTCTCTCAGAGGTGCTTGCAGGGATTACTGAAGGATACTGAGACCCTGAGACCCCACCCCACCCAAGCTGTGCGCAGAGGCTTTTGCATATGAATGCCCTGGCCCTTTGCAATCTGAAAATTACCTAACAAACTGCAGCTGGGTCGGAGAGACCCAGAACTTCCAAAAGAAGACCCAAGGCGGAGGGAGCCGGGGAGCGTCTTGCTCTGCAGCTATCGCCGCAACCCCAGCGTGGAGGTCGGGACTCTCCCGCCTGCTCTGGGCCGCCGCCTGCCTGGCCCCGCTGTGTGTGCTGACCGCGGCTCAGAACTCCACCCTGGCCCCAAACGTGACTTCGGTGCCCCCCAACCGGACAATCACCACGCTGCTCACCACTGTCGTACCAGAAATCTGTGGAAAACACAACAGCTGTGTCTCCTGTGTTAATGCTAGCAATGATATTGCTAATATTTCCTGCTTTTGAATCTGTTTCACCTCCTCTCTTGATTTCTGTCTTGAGGAGGAGCAAGAACCCCTTCGCGGGTGACATTTTCATCCGTTGTCTACTTGCCTTCCTTCTTTCATCCATTCTCAATGCTGACAACTCCCACATTTACATCTCCAGACGCACATATTTGTACACAGCTGCAAACTCAGGTGGGGAAGGAAACTGGCTGATGGACTTTACCCACCAGGGTCTGGTTTTCAGGTTCATAATTTTGGAAACTATTATATCAGTGCTCTATTCTCCTCCTCCCCATTAGGCAGTAGTGAGGAACAAACTCAAAAAGAGTCTGGAGGCTTTGGCTTGAAATAAATGATAACGGTTTGTCAAGGGTTTAAGGTTTGCAAACCAGAAACACAACTAGGCAATACTCAGAGTGCTTTGAAGAAGAAAGAAAAGCCAAGAGTTCTTATAATAAAAAGTACATTCTTAAGAAGAATCAGTCCTGCATTCTTAGCCTCCAGATTGCTCTGGATCCTGGGTATCAGGTGGTCTGCATATGTGAATATTCGTTCCTTAGTCCAGGGGGGTAATCAGAGAGGTACCTGGAGGTCTTCTGTACATCCAGGCATTGACAGGACTGGAAAGTTCAAAAGTTTAAGTTTCCAGGCTAGTTAAAAAATCATCTTGCACAGCCCTGGCTGGTTTGGCTCAGTGGGTGGAGTGTCGGCCTGTGGACTGGAGTGCCGTCACAGGTTCTGTTCTGGTCAAGGGCATGTACCTCAGTTGCAGGCTCTTTCCCTGGCCCCAGTTGAGGTGTGTGCAGATGCAACCAATCTATGCTTCTCTCTCTCTGTGTTTCTCCCCCTCCCTTCTACTCTCTCTAAAAGATCAACAACAACAACCAAATAAAATCAGCTTGCATAAACTAAATCTATAAAGGCTTGTGGGTAAATGAAAAATTAATTTATTCATATATAGGGACAGATAGACCTTTATTGGTTTCTTTATTTTGCCTATTTGTGGTTTTTAAATACCTATGGCTTGATTCTGATTATGAAAATAATGCATGTTAGGTGCATTCTCTCTCCTGGGAGCATGCCCTCGCTTTTTCCTCCCAGCTCCTCTTCCCCCACAGGCGTGGATCCCCTAAACTCCAAGGGACCCCAAGAGACTTGCAACCAGGGGAGCAATGGGAAGTGGCAACTCTCCGGGACTAACCCCCTGAGCCTGTCTTCAGGGCCCCTTTTCTCTGACTTTCCAGTGAGCTGACAGCAGCCCAGCCTTGGCTGGCTTCTTTCTCTGTGACGTTTCTCAGTGAGCCCAAGCAGCCCCCCAAGGCTCTCTCCTGTTGCTTCTCCTATCCTACGCCCTGTCCTGTCTTCCTTGTTTCACTGTCCCCAGCTTTAATAAATGTTCTCTCAAAATAATAATAGCCCAGCTGGCGTGGCTCAGCGGTTGAGCACCGACCTATGAACCAGGAGGTCACAGTTTGATTCCCAGTCAGGGCACATGCCCAGGTTTCGGGCTTGATCCCCAGTCGGGGGCTCACAGGAGGCAGCCAATCAATGATTCTCTCATCACTGATGTTTCTATCCCTCTCTCCCTCTCTTCCTTCCTCTCTCTGAAATCAGTAATACTGATGATGATGATGAATGTTCATTATAGATTTTAAGAAATCAGGAAAGTATGAAGAACAACATGGAAATAACCTATACAACTTCAATAATAACCGATAACACTTCACATCTGTATTTGTGTGGGGACCATGCTGCATATACTTTTGCATCCTACTTTCTCTTATCTTTATATTGTAAGCATTTGGGGGAAAGCCTTTACATCTTGGCAGTTCCTAGAATATATTTTATTTTTACTGCCCTGGGATTCCATTTCTAGTATCAAGGTCCACTATCAGAAACTTGCTTAGGTAAGCATGAAATCAGAGCAAAAATGAAAAATATTTTTTTAAAAAGTCAGGTCATTGTAGGAGCAATGATATCCAGCCTGGGCTCCTGGGGCCATCAGTCCCCTATCCTTGCAGTCTGGGCCCCCAGGGTAGGCCTATTTCCCTGGACTGCTGTCCCGGGGGCAGGACCCTACCAGGCACAATGAAGACTTCTTCTGGGCCCACTGGTGTCCAGTGACCAGGCAAAAGCAATGGCGTCGCAGGCCGGCCTCTGAAGAAACAGGTCCGGTGGGAGTTGGCGGAACCCCGCCTTTTTCCGGGGTCTCGCTCTGGCCTGCAGCCCTGGACCGGCCACCGGGGGCGGAGCAGTCCGAGAGGGCGGGGAGCAGGCAGTGTCCCCGGGAAGGTGGGGAGGGGTGGGGGGTGCGGGACGGACATCCTTCGAGGTTGGAGGCTCGGGGTCCCTCTTCCCTAGAGTCCAGCCTCGGGG